CCTTCCATATTTGTCTAAAAGGAAACCTGGTACCAACATTTTCCTGCTTAGATGCTTGTAGAAAGATCTGATCGAAAAGGACTCTAGTAGTAAGACTGCAAGAATAAGAAATTCATATGTAAAGAATTCAAGGTAAGAGTAGAATTGATTCAAGTTAGTGTGTGTGTGTAAGTATATTTTGTTGATTGGTCATCCAGGCTTCTTTTGTCTTTTCATTATTTATTTTGGTAACGCATTCTGCCTTGGTTACTATGGTAATTATAGTTCTTAGTTCTATTGACCAGTAATTTTTTGCATGTGGAGGATGGATTAAAAACATACATAGGGAAAGTTTGGTTCATTATATCTTTATCTAAAGTCATAAGCTGCTGAATCCAACTTAGACTCTTGTGGATTCTTTTTAAAGAATAATTAAGGATAAAATCTTGTGGAATCTCCTTATAATAATTCAATTGCCCGAAATTCATGCGCTCCACTCTATATAAGCACCTAGAGTTAGATTGCAACCACAATGGAATCCTAACTTGAGCCGCCGAAACCTCTTGATCATCATGGCTATCTCTTATCAATTGAAGTCTCCTTAATCATCTCATTCAATTGAACACATCTACACTTTCGATTGAACTATTTTGTCCTCTTTGATTTTGTCTCACCAAAAAACCCTAAGAAAACACAATTGAGATCTCACAGAAAGTTGATTTTGCAGCTATCTAAAGGTTTTGGAGGATTAAGAGGAGGAAAGTACGTGAAAAGCACATTCTAAAGTGAAGGTAATTCTTGACTGTATCTTGGAAGTATAATTATAAATGAATACCATTTATTATTGGTTAAGGTTGCACAAGATATATGTTATTATGAGTGTGAGATTTTTGACAATTGAATAAACTAGATTTGGAAATCTTCTACTAGGAAACCATTAAAAAAGTTCTGGTTGAGAAACATAGAAACTAGTTTGTCTGTTGAATTGGATACATTTTTGGTGGTTATGTCGAGTTCAATTTGTGACTCACTAACAAGAGCATATAGGAGATGGACGCTTAATAAGTATAAACATTTAAGGACCAATTGAAGATTTTTTTTTTCTATTTTTTAAGGAAATAAAAAAACAATGTTAAATGTTCTTCTGTCTGGAAGAAAGTTTTCATATGCTTTTTTTCCTTGATTAAAAAATGATATGTTTCTCTGTAAAGATTAAGAAAATTCATACTATTGAACAAATCAAACCTCAGGATGATTTCATATAAAAAAAACTTTTACATATCATTGGCCAAGGATTATATTAACTTTAAAACCTTCTTTGGTTCCACCATGCCACTTTTTCCCTCCTACCCAACCAAAAACCTGAAGTAAAAATGAAAATACTATTTACTAGGGACATTCAAAATCTCGTTCTTGTGCTTTATAGTCTTGGGGCCAACTTTGTATTTTTGTTGTTTGCTGTGGTCTGAAAACTTTATTCAGGCAGTGTTTTTTTGTCTGATTCAATTGTGCACTTTGTGGTGGTTTGGCTTTTTCTTCTAACATGAATACAATTATTTCTACTTTTCAGGAAAAAAAGGAAAAGAAAACTACCATTCATGAGTTCTATTTTTTGGGTCTTTATGCATTAGTGTAAGACAATGTGTCTCTTTGTTTTCTCCATTTTATTATAATTAATGAATTAGAAGGCAACAACGGGGTTCCATCCATTTACCAAGATACACAAACTCTCTCAACTCTGAAAAAGAGAAGTTAGGATCGACACCCCATCCAGCATTGAATGAGGGTTCTAAGTCAATATGCTTTGGATTGGAAAAGAGGAACTTTCAAAAGCTCTATTGTTCATCTCTTTGACGATCCAAAAGATGGCATCTGAGTGATGCATGCAAGGTTCCTTCTATCTATCACACGGAATTCCTTTCAATGTCCATAGTTCTTTCTTGGCTTAATCACTTACCACCTGGTTGAATTTAAGGAGATGGAGAACTAAATTCCAAGCCTTCGAGCTTGCCTGAAGGAACCATGGAAAAAGATGGATTGGGATTCATTATCACAATGACACAAGTAAACACCAGTTTACAAAATTTTTTTCTCTTCCTTCAGGTTGTCAATAGTCAGGATTCTTTCCCATGTTGCCTTCCATGTGAAGAAAGCGATTACTGGTGTTGCCTTCTTCCACACCTGCTTCCAAGGGAAAGTATCCCAATGTCTTGTTTGGCTAATCAAATGGGTCTAATAAGGTTTAATTTGCAAACTTCCTTTTTCAGAGAGTTTCCACCTAGCATTTCATCAACCTATCATTAAACCCTATCATCAATCTTATCCTCTTAGACAGGAACTATAACAACTACGAGAAAAAGCCAGATCTTTTTCTGTCCAAGGTCCAGGTATTGGTTTGCTGGGGTTATGAGGGACATTCCATTGAGCTTCCAAGGTAGTTGGCATTATGATGATTACCAATTGCCATCTGTTTTATTTTATTTAGCTTTTTGGGCTTCCTCATGTTGTAGATATCAGATGTGGTTTTATGTCTGTTGAGTTATGCAATACTCTTTGGTGGCAGTTGTATATTTTTCTTTAATTGCAATGAAGCTTCCTTGTTTCTCAAAAAAAAAAAAAAGGGCCCTATCAAGCAAGGAAATTCAATCATCAACCTCCTAGTTCCCCCAGTCATTTGGATTTTAGAGAAAAGGGATGTTTCACTGGATTCCACCTTGTATGCCTCAAAACAAACAGTGGTCTTCTTGAATTGAGCAATGGAGTAGATAAAAGGAAACCTCTCTCAAAGACCTGTCACTAGAGGGATAATTATTTTCCAAGATTGATCTATATAATAAATTTTTGTTTATCGCTTACATTATACTTTTTATAAGAGTATGAGTAGCATTTTCATGTTCTAAATAAAATCACCCTTTGATTCATATCCATACATGCTATCAGAGTGGGTGGATTACAAAAAATATAATGTTATGATAAACACAAGTTATAGTGGAGATTAAATATAGGAGAATATTTATTCCTCTAATCACAATACCAAATACTATCCTAAAGCCTAATCTGCCTGCTACACTCTACACCTTCAAACGAATATGACCGTAAAACTTCACATAGTTATTACCAATGGATCTCCATGGATTAGAACCTAATGTGGCCCTACCAGCCTATAAGACAATCCATCCCTAGCACATCAAGCTTGACTCTAATGAACTTCCAGCCAAGGGCAGTTTAATTCCTGTTAGAGAAGAAACGTAAGGTCCATTCTAATTCCACATACCTACTCCCCTTCCCTCAGCTATTTCACATTCTTACAGGGCACCAGAGTGAAACTTCCTTTGATCATCTGTATCACCCTGCAGAAACCAATTTTGTATGTAATCAGATCTGCTTTGCCAGCTTTCTAGGCATACTGAAAAGGGAAAGAAAATAAACAGGAAGGTAAACACTCTTTAGGAGAGTCAATCTACTATCTTTGACTTGGAAGTAAGAACCTAAGTATCTAAAGAGAGAGTTGATCAATATGTGATATTTTCTTCTGAGAGACTGAACATTCCCATAAGAAAGCTTCTTGGTCTATGTTATTCGTGTTATAACGAGTGGGAAGATAACCTATTCTTATTTTTGGAAGCAATGCAGTATAATGAAACTTGCTATGTGATCACTTGTTTGTTAGTGTTCTCAATCTTGGTTTTATTTTATCTGATTTTGGCTGGCTAACTTGGAGAAAGGTTTTCGTTTTAAAGATTGTTTATTGTTAATCTACAAATATCTTTTTAACTTTTTTAATGTATCCTGTAGACTTCCTTCTGTAAAGTTTCTTCTTCTCTCTCCTCTTATGAAGATTGTGAATGTAATTAACAAGTAGTCGGATTTATGACATTTCGACACTAATCTTATATGACCTTAAATACACGTGGCATTATCAAGACTTGGTATGTGTTGCCTTATGAACATACATTCGATTCCACATGTTAGTCCAAGCCTACACATTCTTCACTAGTATAACCTTGTCGTCTTGAGAGGTCATTTTCTGTTGGAATAGATGAAATTTAGAATGAGTGAATTAACATTAAGATAATGTTTTAGTCACTAACATCAAGGTAACCATTGGTATGACTAAATGTTGGATTGGTTGTAGGCTGTTTACTAGGTGCACAATGGATAATTGTTGGTGTATTTGAAGAAAAGTTAAGTGGGTTCAAGCTCAGAGATGGAAATGAATTGAAAATGGACAAATTTCATTTAGAAGTTTCTAGTAACATCTTTGGTTGGGATAGTGCTTTTAGGTTTAGAAGACAGACATAGCATGCTTTAACTAATAACCTTATTAAAAGATCTTGACTGAAAATTTGCAGTGTGATTGATTGTTCAGGAGTCTTTGATGGTAATAATGATGTTCTAGTTTTGCTTGAATATGTTATGTTAGATGAATTGTATTCTTTACACTGTTTGGAACAAATGAATTTGTCAAAAAAAAAAAAAGAAAAAATGTAGAATTCATTTGAAAGTCAACCTATTTAATGTTCAGATTCATCATAAGGCAGGCAATCTATGAGCTTGTTGAAAATTTGACCAATATTTTTGTGTTGTAATACTTGGTTTCTAGTCATTCTTGTCTTTCATTTTGGACTTAAATAATTTCTGATGTGTCTTTAAATCCCTTAACCAAGCTGCATATATATATATATATATTGAAATAAAAAGTATGAAAGTATAATAATGTGGCGCAACGGACAACCCATGTACAAAATATTTACAAATCTGTAATCATATCAAACTGCATATATATGTACTTCACTTCGCCAATCAATTGTTCCGAATCTTTTGTTCTGTCATAACAGCATGGTATTGTATGAATTTCTCTTTGATGGTAAAATCCTTAGATTTGAAATATTAAGTTTGGTCATTGATGAATCTGTTTGGCATTACATGATTTTATATTGAGATTGTGGCTTGGAGTTGGATCTTTTAATGCGTCCCTCCCTTCAAGAAGCCTACCAGTAACCACGATGTGTGTGGGGCTTTGGGAGGGAGAGTCGATTTGTTTCTATAAGATTTCCTTGAGTTCTGGGCTTCCAATTAAAACTATGAATTTTTGTAATTTTAATCCGATGAACAATAAAATTCTTATGTAGAACATTTTGATTTGATCAGTAGAAGTAGTTGGATAGTTTTAATTACAATAGATTAATTAGACAATTATTAGAATTCTGACAAGTAGATTTTAGTTCGACAATAATATAAATGAGATATATCTGTTTTAATTTTTATTGTAAAGAGCTGTTCAGAATTTTTAATTAAATTTTTAATTTAAGCATTTGATTTTAGTGACATATAGTTTGATAACATATACAAGTAATATGTGTAGACATATATATAATATTTTTATTATTACATTATTTTGGAAGATGATTTTTATTTTAATATAACTATAAATTTGTTTTTTTAATCTAGTTTTTTATTTGTGATTTCTAGTATCATTTTTTTAAATTTGTTTATGTATTGTTTACTTTCAAAAGTTTGTTATGTATCGTTTATTCTCTTCTAATTTGTCGAGGAGGATGTTTCTTAGTTTTCTATTTTTTGTTATTTCTTATAATGAGAATAGTTCATTATTGTTTAATTGCTCAACATTTGCCTAAAACTATTTTGTTTCTGTCTGTGGACAGCTCTAGAATCCAGTTCAATTGGTAAATTGTTAGTGAATGCATTACTAAATCATTAATTCATCATTGAGAGTTCCTTCAAAACCAGTGGTTTTCCTGTGTTTAAGTGTGGGGAATGAGTAATCTTCATGAGTTAGATGGTATGAGCAAATGTCATCTCTTGTACTATAATTAACAATTAACTGTTCTTTTTGGTCCCCCTCCTTAGGATTGCAATGGAAGAGGAAATGCAGAGTGTTATTTCAGTTGATGAGAGAAATATGGTCGAGGAAAATGTGGTATTCGAATATTCTGATTCGAACAGCATCAATCCGTCAATGCCTAGCAACAAGTGCACAAAGCATGGTTGGTCAAAATTCAAAGGTCTTGTACCCCAGCCCAACGGACACTGGGGTGCTCAAATCTATATCAACTACCAGAGGATTTGGCTTGGAACATTCAAATCAGAAACTGAAGCAGCTATGGCTTATGATAGCGCCGCCCTGAAGCTCCGGACTAAAGATTCAGCACTAAACTTTGAATTGACTAGCCTTAGCGTTAAGGAACTAACCTTTCAAGGCTTTTATACCAATGAAGAAGTGATCAACATGATAAGGCACGGTACCTATAAGTTCAACTTTGATTGTTTCCTGAGGACTTGTGCTCAACAAGAGGACGGAGGTATGAGCCATAGTCTGGGAAGCTTGGGAGGCGATGAAGGGACAATGTGCAAGAAACTGTTTCATAAGGAGCTGACACCAAGTGATGTTAGTAAGCTAAACAGGCTTGTCATCCCTAAGAAATTTGCTGTCAAGAACTTCCCAAACATCTCAGGGAATGCCTACTACAATGGCAATTTAAGTGATATCCAACTAATCTTTTATGACAGGGACATGAGGGTATGGAAGTTTCGGTATTGCTACTGGACTAGCAGCGAGAGTTATGTTTTCACAAGGGGCTGGAATCAGTTTGTGAAGGATAAGCAATTGAAGGCTGGTGAAATTGTCACTTTCTATGAATGTACTCCGAGCAAGAAGACGAACGAGGAGGCTTCCAACAACTTCTGGGTCATCGATGTAGGCGATGACCTTAGCTATGACATGGATTTTCAAGTTCATTTGAGGCATGGTAAGTTCAATTATGACAAGGTTGAAGAGGAATTTGCAGGAGATGAAGTGAATCAGCCAGTGAGGAATGGTGATGGGAAAATGTTCAAGCTGTTTGGCGTTTGGATCATGTGAGACATGGATATGCTGGTTTATCCTTACCTTCTTTCCATTTTAGATGTCTTTGAGTTTATTATTGAATTTGGTATTGGAGAAACTATTACAGTACTCTTTTTGGTATGGTTTGGTGTCTCAAATCAATCTCATAATTAGGGTTTTGTACTCTTTTTAAGTTATGGAGAATTAGGGTTTGGTACTAGTGATTTTGTTTTGTAGATAATTAGGGTTGTGGGTGGATGGTGGGGCTTCTGGTGCTCCAAGGAATAAGTGGATTGAATGTTTGATTTGATTGTTTTCATGTTTTAATGAGGATTCCTGTTTTGAAAATGTACATTTGGATTTGAAGGTGAAATTATTATTTTTATTTTTTTATAAATAAATCATATATATATATATATATATTTTGAGTGGATATGTACTTCAAAAACTTTCTAAATTTTGATTTAATTTATATGCTGAATAAAACAAAAATTTTATATTACTTACATCATTCTTTAGTAATGATATAAATAATTTATTATTAATTATAAAAAAATGTTCAAACATTTTTACTCGATAAATTTAATATTTAATTTATTAATATATTAATAAAAATAATATGATCATATTTGAATTGTTTTATTAAATTATTTTAATTATGATAAAAGAAAAATTAGATGTAAATTAAGTTTCCGATAGTTATCACATAAAAAAATCTTCACTCCTTAGATAGTCAAATTACAACGAGAGATTCACTTTTTGAAGCACTAATCAAGTACAATGACCGAGTTAGACTAAGTTAAAAAAATTTTCATAACTCAAGGTTCATTTTTCCCGGTTCCATCATCTAATTTGCTTAAATAAACATGCATAGTTCTATAATCAAAGTAATTTTGTCACTTTTGTATACGTATCAGATGATAATTATGTCGAGAAATTTTTTAAGGATCGAGTTGATTTATATAAATTGATTGAATACAGAAAGTTTTTCACTAACAAGGTTGTCTGAGTTAATACTTCGTTAATTTTTATTTTATTAATTTTTTTAGAAAGTTATATATTCATTAACTTTTTTTTAATGTATAAATATTATATATTTTCATACATATACAAAATATTAGGATAGAAAATAAGGAAAGTAGAAATAAGACAAAGCCCATATTATACATACCACTAGGCCCATCAACGCCTTAACTCGGCGCGCAGCAGCATATCCTCTCCGGAAAGTCAGGACGAGCCGAGGATCGGAAAGAGCAAAGCTGAGAAGCTCTTTCTTTGATGAAGCATGGCGCTTGAGACTTACTCTTCAAGTAATCCAGGCCAAGTCCATACCGACGTCCTCCTCAAATCCAGAGAAGCTTGCTACAAGGTCTTCCTTCCTTGTTTCCTTTCTCTCTTTTCTCCTTCGTTCATTTAGTGTTTGTGCGCGTTTCGTAGTTTGCAATCTGACGAGAAATTTTGATTTTCCGACTTCGAGAAAAAGGCGAGGGATGCATTTTACGCTTGCTTAGAGAAAGAATCTGGCAAGAAGCCGACGGAAATTGGATCGGTTGGTCTCCTGTACCCGATGGAATGCAAAGACTCGAGGGCTGAGTTTATCAAGCACTGCCGCTCTTCTTGGGTACACAACCTGATCATTGATTCTCTCTCTCTTTTTTTTTTTTTTTTTTCATACTTTAAGTTTAGGAGTTAAATTAATTTTTCTTTGGGTTGGTTGCGAACACAGGTGAAGCATTTTGATCGTCAGTACTGTAAGAACAAAAGAGTGCAAAGACTATTGGATGATGGAGGGACGAGACGAGGTCCGTTGTTGCTTCCACAACCTTATACATTCAAGCCTACTTCTACTAGTTAGATTTCTTCTTGATCTTATTCTATATTCTTTGTTAAATCTAGGCCTCTTAGTTATATGGGTCTTAATTGCTGGTCTTCTTGTAAGGCTATGCATTCGTGATGCCAGATTCCACTTATTTGCTTTCTGTGGTTTTTGGGTTACCTAGTGTTTAAAACTTAATAGAGAAAGAAACTGGTAAGATGAAATGGTTAAGTTTATTTATTGTTTGGCAGGGGTATAAAGCTTTTACTTGGCCACTAAGGAAGAGGGAAGTGGTCATCGTGGTTGATAGTTGGGTAAATCTTACACGCCATGTTTTAAAGTAAGTACAGGGAGGGAGTGATTGGAACCTTACAACTTGCTATGACCTTAGGGCTTTTTTTTTTAATTTCCTTGGAACAAGTTATCATTGACATGGTGTAGAGGAATGTATTTAGGCTGAAAGGATTTATCTCAACCAGTATGATGAATGAAATTTTCAGGCTTGCTTGTGCCATTCTCTCTTCATGACTTAATATTTTCCTTGTGTCTTCATGGTTTTAAGCACTAAATATACATATTTAGATGCTAGATTGATTGAGAAAATGGATATTGAATGCCCACTGTTTTTCTTTTTCTTTCTTTTTTCTTGGAAACAAAAGGAAGAAAAAATGCAAACTAGCTGACTTATGCCAATCCTACTAGTCTGGCTGTGAAAAGGTTGTTGCCTTGTCCTCCAGCCAATTGGAAAATGGATTAGCCTCACAGGACTCATGCATGAAGGTAACCTCCTCTTCGTAATGAATAATCTCAGTGCTCGCAATACCCTTGCAGCATGGCGGACTATTGTGTCTTTCTTACCATTCAATGCTTCAATAGAAGCTCTTCATCAGCCATCTTCTTTTACAACAATTTCCCAGGCTAGCAAAAGTTGATGGAACACTGCCCAAATCTTGACATCTAAGACATAGTCAGCGCCTAAATTATGAGTGAATTCCACTCTCTATTTCCCTCTAGTATCTGATCACAATCCCTCCCTCTCCAGCGTGGTTTCTAGCTTATCATTCATCTGTCCTACTTGCTACATATAGGACCAGTTAATCATCGGCCCAAGGAGCCTTATTGATTTTGTGAACCCTTTTAATCACATGCTAACATGGCTCCATAGGTAATGTGAGGCCAACCTCATAGGAAGTTTTACTTCTCCATTTCCATGGCAGCCAACTCATGGCAATAAAAATTTTCAACCATGGTAGGACCTTAATCAGAGCACTCCATTATGTGATGTTACCACAAATCCAATAAGCTTCCTTTGGCAGCAATAAGACCAAGGCTATAGGCACTAAAAGTAAGCTATATTATGTTTGAATGACAATGCACAGGCAGTTTTATAGTGTATGCTTTAAGGGCCGACTATTCCTATTGCATCGACAGCACTAACTATTATGTTTTTCTTGTTATTTTCATTGGTTGGAATTTTATCATCTATGCATGGATACAAAGATAATCAGATTCTCTCTCAGTAACTTCCATATGCCAATGCACTATATTCTCTGTCCTCCTTCCCCACTTATCCGCTGAATTTTTGGATAAGCTGTAGTCGCACTAAATTGACCAGGAGTGATACTAACGAATTTGACATATTAGCTCCTTTTAGACTAACTGTGAATGCCTAGTTTCTTCCCCTTGCACGTCATCACGTATGCCAGTTTTGGGGCTAGGAGATGGCTATTTCGTGATTTAGCAGTTGAGAACAAAGCTTACTTGGTTGGATGCAATAATGTCATGTAGTATGAGCTTGAGTTGGTTAACGATGATCATTGTTGTGATTTTTTAAGTAGCCTTGTGATTTTGTTTTTGATAAAAGAATTTTATTTAAGAGAGAAAAGGCTAATACAAGAAAAAAGAGGGTAAGGTATCTTCCAACCAAAGAAAGGAAAAATCAAAGAATATCAAAGGAAAAGAATCCTTTACAGAGTTGATAAAGGCATCCCCCAAACAAAATTAGGCTTTAGCCCATAAAGAAGCAAAAATATCATCTTATCCTAAGCATGTGATAGGATTTGGAAATGTTGCTTAATAATTCTTGCATTTTATCCCACCAAATGATACACAAATCAGCAAAAAATAATCTCCCTCTACAACGCCTTATGTTCTTTATTCTACGCAATACAACAAAAAATAGTAGAGACAAAAGTTTTTAGATTAGGGAAGATACCTATGCAACCTCTGACATGGAAAACAATGTATACCACATCTTCCATGCCACAGGACAATGGGGAAACAAATGGCTGTTGCTCTTTGAACCACGAAAATGTATCAAATAAATGTTTGAAGACAGAGCTATACAAGATCTTAGGATATGGAGAATATCTTTGGTGTTAGTCTTATTCAAGAGACAATCTAAACATAAGTTTTAATCTTAAAGGAAGCTTGTTTCTTCCAAAAATAAATAGATAGAGAAATATAGATGTTACGGTTAATAAGAAACTTAAAAAAAAAGCTTTACAGGTGTAATCATTTAAAGACTCAAAGGTTCCAAATTTGACGATTTGGTATGAGAAGTGGACAAAATCCATTAATAGGCTTAAGTAAGGCCATCAGATATGTGGTTTCTTTATAATTCAAGCTGTGAAGAGAAGTCCCAATAACTTGGCCATTCTGACAGATCAAACAGGTGCGAAGTATCCAGAAAGGCGATGGAAACAGGTAACAAGGGACAACTAATCCTTCCAATGGTCCTCAAGAGATGAACCAGGATCGCCATGAGCCCTGCAATAAACTATAGATTTGGGGAATATCATTTGAGGTTGTATTTTTTTTTTTTGAAATATAAAGTGTGAATTGTATTGATATGGGCACCAAGATGGTGCCACCCATATACAAAATTTACAAGTTAATTAATATATCAAAAAGTTCTATTAGATTTTTCATATAACAAAGAGGTTGACCCTGTAAAAAAAACCCAAAGGTGTAGAATCATTTATTCTTAAGGATTTCAAAACCATTTACATCATCAATTCCATCAAAACCCCTTCTATTCCTCTCATTCCAAACCAACCAGAAGATAGGGAGCGGAATTATATCCACTTGTTTCTGCCAGCCACTAACACCCTTCTACATCCGAACTTCTTCTCTCACTGAACCTGTCATCACCTAGCTAATGCCAAACAGCCCATAAATCAAGGTCCACAACTTATAAACCTCCAGACACAAAAGCAAAACATGCTTACAATTCTCATCATCCCTTTTACAAAGATAACAAGGATCAACTAATATCTTTCCCCGCTTAGGACACAACCTTGATAGCTATGATGATCTTGCTCACATTGTAGATATACTAGCAAATCTGTAAATTTTTCTTGTACATGGGTGGTGCCCCCTTGGCACCTTTGCATTAGTACATTCTCATTCTTTTATTTTATCTCAAAGAAAAACATTCTTATTCTTTTATCTCAAAAAAAAAAAAAAAACCAATATCTTTTCCCTCTTCCTCAAATTGTCAATTGTAGAAAAATACTCCCTACTAGCCTCCCAAGCAAAAAAAGAAACACGGGGTGGGACACTAGTCTTTTACTTTTGTCTGACAGGGAAACATATGCCATCATCTTCATACTTGTACAACATTTTGAAGAAGGATTTAACTGAGAAAGATCTATTAAATGTGAGGCATCACCATGGAGTGTCGATGCTTCCATCCAACGAAATATAAGATAATGTATCCAATAACTCTTCATATTCTCCAATCTCCCAATCGTTGAGATTCCTCGATGTAGGTACTTGCCATTCCTTTTCACCACTACTGTTCTCCACTAAAGGGTCACAAATCTTGAGTCACAAATTATTTAAGGTTTTATTTATAGGAGTTTGATGAGCTTTAGGGGGGCCCAATCTCATTTACCTTCATCTTCAAGGGAGAGTTGTAGTTTCTTCTGGAATTGACTGTTTCTTTTCTGGAGTTGAGTGGTGTTTTCACTTGGGCCTTGTTTGTCAAGAGAAACAAAGCCTAGACTAACAAGTTACGAGGAAAAGGTTGAGATTTAGTGTAGGAGTCTCAAGTTGATGGTTTCACTAGTTTTGAGTAGCAGGAAAGCTGCAATGTATCAAATCCATAATCTAGCAGTAGAGAACTAGTGGATTTAGGGACATGGAAGTTAAGAAGGATGGTTGATTTAGGTTTTAATCCAATCAAATAACTTAGAAGGTGAAATGAATTTATCTTTAGGTA